GGCCATCGACAGCTGGCTGTGTAATCCAGAGCAAAAGTGTGTTCCTCAGCACTACAGCAGTGCAAACTAATATATACCAATATATACATGAACCTGGCAGGTCCTTGGCGCAGGTGCTTGCACAAAAAGCAACAGAAAATCAGGCAGTGGGAGTACAAGCTTCTCAGCTTGTCCTTGTCGGATGGACTTATCCCCATTTTTGCTGCAGCACTTAAGAGCCAATTATAAATTTTGGTTGGYTTCAGTGATACACTACAGATATTCATAATATTCATCAATGAACAGGTTACTTTAGGCTAATTTGTTCTGCTAAGCTATTTAGGAATTAATTTGCTCTGAATTACCAGTAATAGGCAGCAAAGGTAGGGGTTATGAAAGGGGGAACAACTGGTTGCTAAAGTCATTAGCCCTGGAGCACAGCACAAGGCAAAGAGCATCGGCTGCCCTGGGATTTATAGGAGGCACAACAGGGCAAGTACAATCTCCCAGAGGGGGGGAAGAGTTTCAGGGAGCTGAGAGAGCTGCTGAAAGACATTTGCTTTGGCAAGAGCAGCAGGCACGCAGCAGTAGACGGATGGAAGTCAGAAGCTGATGGTAATAGGGAGCATTAAAAATAAATCCAGCCTAATTAGGTAAGAAGGAAAAAAAAAAAAAAGTCATGAACCTGACAGCTCAGCAACTGACAACTGTTTAGTTCTAGCTGTTATCTTGAGGGTGAGAAATTCATACTGGAGCACAACAAAGGAGGCAGATGAAATGACCTGCTGTGTGCTCTATGTTGCCGAACTGGACCATATCACGGTCCATTTAGGGAGGCTGTGAGCTCAGCAGTTTCAAAAAGGACAGCCTCTTTAAAAGGTCCAGCATTAAAATACCCTGGAATGTTACCTATTTCTTGAAAATCTTGGCTTGCGTTCCTGTGTTTGTATAGGAGCATTCACACACCTGCAAATTCTGTGCCAACAAAAGAGAGAGGCTTTATGACCCACAGAGATAAAACAAGCAGGTAGTAATGTAGGCTTCCCTCAGTGCCCATCTCCAGCCTTTTCCATGGACCATTTCTCAACAGTGAGGAGTCCTGTGTCCTCTCTCAAGCTCTCTACTGAGAACATAACTGAGCAAGTAACATATGAGCAGCCCCTTCYAAGGGAGGGGATGCTGTGTGCCAGGAACTGCACTGCAATTAACCAACTCATTTCACATCCCAGCATGACTGAGAGGGCTGGATGAAACTGTAGAACAGCAATATTAGGGGGAAAAAAAAAGATTCAGGAAAAAGACTAGAAAGATAACTAGAAGGAAAATAATAAGCAAACACAATAAAATGGGAAATTGCACCGAAATGGAAATTGTTCCATACATTCAGGCAGAACTGAGGCCTTTATGCAAGCAGAAGTGCAGAGCTAATGGAAAAATGCTGATGGTCCCCAAATGCAGGAAGCTTGCTTCTCCTTCCCATGCCTTGACTTTGCTTCCAAGTAGCTGTATTGAGAAAACAGCCCTTCAGGTCTTCCTGGGGAACATGAGGAACTTGCCCACATTTCCCCTGGACTTTATGAACAGATAAGTCACTATTCTTCCTTACACATTGCTTCTGTTTACAAGTGATTTATCAGATGAAACTAGTGGTACAAACTACACAGCACTCAGCACAGCTCCTGCTGTCCTGCAGGACATTCCCGTGGATTTGCTGAGGAAAGCTGTGCCAGGAATCCTAGAGAGCCTTATCAGTCCAGTGGCTGATGTGGGGTAACACCATTATTAAAAGTCTGCTCTAAGATCTGCACAGCAAATAATTTAATCTCAAGCTAATGCCCTTTATATATTTTTATATATTTTCTGCACATATCTTACAGTTCTGGAAAAGGTATGGCTGGACGAATGGGCTACCTGCTATAGGAAGCATCTGCAGGGCCTTGGCAAAGCCCTTGGCGGTGAGAGCTGCTGCTGGGTCACGTTCTGGTTCTTCCTCTCCCTTGCTCCTCCCTGGCCAAGAGCAAGGGCAGGAATGCCAAGTGTGCCCCTCTCATCTGTGCTACCGCTCCGCTGACGGCCAATGTGGCAGGGCCTGCCAGCGTCTGCAGACAAACAGCTTCAGAGTCATGGGAAGGTTTTGCATAAACATGAGGATGGTCTCTGCACTCCAGTGCCTCCCCTGCTCTTCTGGCTTGGACACAATTAAGTCTTCAAGTTTAGGTTCTCACAAGCTGGACCATCTTGTCCCGTTGTCTTTCCTGGCATCTGTCTGTTTAAAATGCTGTTAGAAACACTCCTTAGCAGATGTTTTCGCAGCTTCCTCACACCATTTCTTCCTACTTCCTCAGACCATCTCTTCCTTTCTCTGTGGCKAGGAAGCTTTTCTGGTATGTAAGCAAGTTTCTCATGCTGCAACTAAGCCTATTTTTATTGTCCTGTACATATGGAGAATTCCCTTCCTCTTTGCAAACACATTTTTTACATTTGCAGGGGGGAAAAAAAGGTCTAAACACTATACAAGACCTGTGAGGTCAGCTTTTCCAAACGTGCAATAATTCTGATGCTCTTGACTTCTCTCCAGCTAGTCCACATATTCTCTGAACAAGAAAAAAATTGCTCAACACTTGACACAGTGCTCCAGCTGACACCTTCCTAGTGCTGAGCGGAGCTGCAGCATTGCTTCACATACCTGATAAGTGACAGACCTGTGCAAACATCCTTGTATTGACATTCCACATTGTCACAACAGCCAGGTCCTGTTGGCTCTCGTGCAGGTTGTGATTCACTCTCTACAGAAGGCCTTGGACTTCAAGCATATGACTCACCGAGCCCTTGTTTGTGGTTGCATGTGCAAGGCTGGCACATTGACCACATTTTTATAAATATTCGCATGTTCAAGTCATTGTTTTCTTCTTTTTCTGTTGTTGCTTGGTTGGGTGGGTGGGTTTTTTTCCTGGTGTTCTCACAACATGCCCTTGTCTTCCTCCACCAAAGACCTGTGGATTCTCAGGCTCCTCTTCGGCCACAGGGATGGGTCAGGATGGTCAGATGGGTCAGGATGCAGATCCTGCACCATTGCTGAGCATGTCCTGAGCCCCGTAGCCAAAGCTCCCACAGGGGAGGATCACTCAGGRTTCTTACACAGTCTGAGAAAGGTCTTCCAAAGGCAAATGGAGGGGACCAGACGTGGCTTTCTGTAGGGAGAACTTCAGCTGCCAGCAGAGCTTCTTCCAGAATGCCAGCSCAGGGCAACCCAAAAGCAGAAATAGTCCCCTCTTTACCCAAAAATATTGCATGCAAAACCCCAAACACAACTATACAAGAATATCCACCCCTCCCAAACACCTTCTAAGGAAGTCTTATATCACATAAACAAACTCTGGTAAAATTCCATTTTTCAGTCTTGTAAGTTATATTTAGGATGGTGCTATCAAAGGACTCTGAAGCAATATTCATTTATCAACCTTTTCCAATATACTTGCAGTTCTGCACTTTTTAAAATAAAAAATGGTCTAATAAGCCATAAAAGTTACATTTCTTGAGTCATGCTGTCTGGCTCCCTTAGAAGAATGTCTCCAATACAATGCACACAGCAGTGTAAAACTGTAGAGCTCCAAATATTAATCTGAAGCTTTCACAACAGAAATTAACAACTAAAAGTCCAGAAATTTTGTAAAGAATTAAATTTTGAAAGCTATTAAAAGTCCAGAAAAGACAGACTTCATAATATTTTTTTCAACATCTGTAATAAGTTTGATATTTTTCAATGATATTATGAAAAAAAAAAAACTGACCGTATGCCTGAGAGGTCCTTCAAGGCTGGTATTACAGCACTCAAATATATCTTCCTGGGGTGGCAACCCTGAACTTCAGTTCATAGTGTAAGTTCACCTGGAAAGCGTGAGACCTATAAAGAAGGGGGTGGCAAAGAAAGTGCTAATATCCAGTTGATCTGGCTCCGAGATAAACCTGACGATACAACTGCAATTGAGACACTTCCTTGTGAAAAATTTGCATATCATCTTTAAGCACGAATGGAGGAGACTATGGAATATTTACAGAATCGCTTCATTCTCATCAATGCCACTGCTGAATAGTTGGAAGTATTTTAATAATTGCCTCTTGGTTGTGCTGTCATATATAGTTGCCATAATCACATAGGTGAATATCTGCCTGGATAGAGTGTCTATCATATTACTGTCTTGACTCATGAATGGGGCCATTAGATCCTACCCCAAAATAAATAAATAAATAAATAAATAAATAAATAAATAAATAAATAAAAACTATGAAGAAATAACAGAGCAAACTGTACTGATCCTCTGTGTATAGTTATAGAGATATTATTGGTTTACTTCATGCATTAAAGCAGAACTTGATCTCTTGGTTTTTTCCTTTGTTTGGATTATCCCACAGGATGGCATCTACCAGTCAACATTAGGTGAGTTCTTCCTTAAAGCACTGCCAGTTTAACATATTTTTAGTTGGAATAATACCAAAATAAGATGGGAAATCTACTTGGCCTTCAGTAAATAGCCCTGACAAATAATAAATAGCCTGTAATACCAGACAGGTGGGCCATTCATACAGGGTTTAACATAATGCTGCATGCATTGGCATGCAAAGGAGAGAAGAAAAAAGACCACTGTAGCATCCACCAAATCTGTCACTGCTGCTCTCATCTCATGTGCTCTGCTTCAAGGGAAACACTGTTTGCCTGTCTCCAGATATTGAACTAAAAGCTGAGAATGGCCCTAACCAGGTGCTCTGCTGCCATCCGAGCTTCCAGGTGAGGAGCTAGTCAGAGAAGTGAGGGAGAGAAAGAAAGGCCAACTAGACACAGTGTGGTAAGTCAAAAGATTTGAAACTGAACTTTATTATTTTATTAAAAAGTATTCTACAATAATGGCTCAGAATACTACCACAAAGKAGAGGGGCAAGGCAGTGCTCTGGGCTATGACTGTAGATTACTCCAGTATATATATTTACGAGCTTAATAAATGTTGAACCGCGACAATTCAACATTTATTAAGCAAATATTTCAGAATTTTAACACTTTATAGATCTTTCATATTACAGCAGGATTTATCAAATGCAATGTAATCACATAAGTCTTGCATAAATACAAATATCAATACTTTACCTTGAATATTGTATATGATATAAATTCTGCCTTACCTTTAAAAAAATCTCCAAATCATGATATGACCTGGAGTCTTTCATTTTCTTTCTCTTTAAGAATCTTTAAATATATATATATATATATATTTATATATATTTGCTATCATACATCAAAGTATATATGAATCCCAACATTTCTGTTTTATTTTTCTGCAGACATGGTCTGAAACAAAATCACCAACAACTAAACCAAAAGCTTCCTGGTTAACAGAGGAAAGTCAAAGAGGGTCTTTCTCCTTTTCTGCATTTCAATACTATTTTTTCTTTCAATTTATAAGGATTCTTCATAAMCTAGAGGTCCATAGTTCATTTAAAGCAGTCTTTATAAGCAAATATACATACTTTGACATGCTTTTGTGAGGCAGTTAGTATCAAAATCCAACAGTATTTCTACAGAACCGTATGACTTTCTGCGATGCAGATATACATTTCATTTCTGAAAAGCCACAGTTCCTCTTCTACATCTGCTCTCATCAAATCCCCAGGATTCATTCATAAAACTGCTGTTCCAAATGCTGATGCTGTTATCCCCACTGCGGGGGAAGATGTGCACGCAATCTGGTGACATCGTCCTGTGGAAGATTGATAGGTAAGAAAAAAGACCCTCCTCAAATGCTTCGATAGTCTTTCCTATCTCTAAATGCTCCTGATTCATTTCACTGGAGGGGGCGAAGCCGTGGTGACACCTCTGTGCTGGCTAAGGCTCTTCTTCCATCAGTGGGATTTCTAGAGAAAAAGAATGAATTACTGATTACGGAAAAGAACGATTACTGATTGTAACTTCCTTCTACGTTTGCCAAGTATTTTAAGTTGGCAAGCTTGTAAAAGCACACTGCAAAAACCCAAGCAATACATGCTGCTTCCTGTCCTACCCTCATTTTTGATATAAGGCCTACATGAAATGAATTTACTAATRCCACCCATATTTTCCCAAATCCACAAAAGAATAAATGCAAAATGTCCCTTCTGCTGCACTAGTCACTGAGTCAGCATCCACAGAGGATAGAATCATCGAATGCTTAAGGTTGGAAGGGACCTCAGAGGTCATCTAGTCCAACCCTCCCTGCTCACCCAGGGTCACCTAGAGCACAYAGCACAGGGCTGTGTCCAAGCAGGTTTTGAAGATCTCCAAAGAAGGAGACTCCACAACCTYCCTGGGCAGCCTGTTCCATTCTTGCACCGCAGCTAGCAGGGGGACACCACAGACACGCACTGCTGTGACTGACTGAGCGGCAGGTTATTCCGCACTTCCAGACTTGGTGAAAACACGGAGGGAGTAAGAGCAGGTCCGCGGTGCCCTGTGGCCACCACAGCAGGGTCTGTGCTCCGARATGAGCGGCTGCTGCTCGCTGGCGGGCACTCACCGTCGGCGATGTCGACACGTGGGCTCGTGGATGCGGTGCTCGGGGACGTGTCCGGCCGGCCCGTGTCTGGGAGCGCGCCCGCCTGGCACGCGGCGGGCGAGGACAGGCTTTGGAGGAGCTCCGCAGAGCCCGACACGCCACTGCAGGCCTCCAGTTCGCTGGGCAGCGGGTCCGCGGTCCTGGGGCCRGGATACGCCGGCGGATTCTGGTCTTCTGCCTGCAGAAGGTGCCCGCGGCCCGTGGCGGCGGCAGCGTATCCAGGCGCCAGGGCGGTTAGGCCGCTGCTCACGGCTTCGTCGTAGGAAGGCAGCATGACGGGGACGCCGTCCACCACCACGAAGTCCGGGTCGCCCGCGGAGCCCTCCGGGTGGCCCCTGTGGCAGACAGAGCCGTGGTCAGGGAGAGCTGGGACGCGGCAGCTTGAACCCAAGCCTGCTCGTCCAGCAGCAGCGTTTGCAGGACGGACCCTTTGTGGTCCTACAAAACTCTGTTCAGATTGACAGTTGGGTGGGATTTGGTACGAGCGGATAAATAAAAGCAGGAGGGTGGAGCATGGTTTAGAGAGGGAGGGAAAGTGCGTTCATGGAAGAGGGAAAGGGCATCGCTTGCTGGACCAGCCATAGGATATACCGTGGATATAAGATCACAGCAGCAACAAAAGAACAAAGAAACATTTCTATTACATTGGGAAGATCTGATAAACCCTAAAGAACCTACTTAGCAGCAAATCAAGTCAAAACAGGAGGGAATTAGTCCTACCTACATAGTTTCAGGAGACGAAAACATCTGAAAAGAGGAGGGTAGAAGGCCACTTCCACAGGCTAGGCCAGTACAGGCTATAACACTATTCCTGCTGCRTTATCCTAAATATCTCGTTGTAATATCTGCTCCTCATATGCTGTATTTGTATACATATGCATATATGTATATAAATTTATATAATCCATACACACTCATGGGCACATTTAGACATTAAGATCACCAAGCCCTTGCTGCCGCTTTGGCACAGGGACACATTTGCTGACTTACAGCTTTCCCATCTCTCCTTTTTGTGCATGGTAGAATAGAGACACATGAGAAAGAGTAAGAGAGAAGCAGATTGAGCACAAACTGTAAATTAAGAACAAGTCAGCACCCATACACAGGATTAGCTCGCTCTATAGCTTTACCTATAGCCTGGCRTGGCTGCCTTTGTTTTCCAGTTGTGAAACAGTAATGCCCACCAGCTTGTGTCATGGGGAACACTGTGAGATTCAGTGGCCATAGCTGCACAGTATTTTACAGAGGCAAAGTAGGATGTAGGAGACTTCTATGAATCATGACCAAAATAATACTCTCAAAGGGAAAACATCCTCAGGCAGCTGTGCTGAATTTTTATATAAATATGTCCACAGAGAAAAGGAAAACCTTTCTTAAAGCTTAYATTACTAATCCCACGGTATTCAAGAATTCCCTTCCCACCTGAAAAATTAACTTAAAAAAAAAAAGGAAAAAAAAAACCCTTTAAAATACTGCCAGACATTTTCCCATGCAAAAGCAGCAGTTCCCAGTATTCGAGCTCTAATTACTCCCACAGAGCATGTGCCCAGCTCTGCACTGCATCCTCCTTGCCCAAGGGCCTGCCAGTGCTTCCCGGGGTGCCCTTCGTACCCCTGGATCAGGAGGTCCTCCTGCTCTACATAGGAGCAGAGGGATCTGCCCAGCTCATGTGTCCCTCTGCTTCCCCAGCATGGAGCGATACACGTCAAAACTCAATCCTAAACCTTCAAAACGAATAAACGAGAAAGAAAACAGTACAAACCTTGGAAGAAAATGTGTCTTAAATTTGGTCTGGAACATCCTGGCTAAGATAACCAGTAGAAGTACTAATAAAACACTGGTAGCAGTAAATGCCACTATTTTCCACGTAGTCAGGAGGGTCTCCTGCGTACTTGGCCAGGTTTGCTCTGCAACAGAATGGCAATACAAAAGCAGTGTTTGATTACTGTTGTCATTTGGTATGAAGTCTTCAACAATACTTAGTATTGACAGTTGGGACGCAGGATCTCATAACATATGTGCTGTAAGCACACACAGATCCAGCCCCAGATGCTAAAAGCAAAGCAATGCTACCCATAAGCTGCCACAAGGGGCTGGACTTTTACCTTTTCACCGTTGCTTTTTTCAAACTTGCAGTCATGAATCTGCCTTATTCACACACACACACAAATACCCAGATATACCAAAACATCCCAAATACCAAAAATACCCATTTGAATGGCTAACTAGTGAAGTTGCTTAGGATCAGCTAAGATATACTACATCTAATAGCATCTTAAAAAGGAAATGTTTGTCATTAAGCAACAAATTTACTCCCAAACCGAGGGACTACAGGGGGAAYAGAAGCAAAGGCAGGAGCGCCCCATCACCTGTTTTGACACAGTACACTTGGTAGGAGGGGAACCACTCTCCGTACTGGCACGTGATGTATTTGTAGTCGTTGGTGAGCGTGTAGCCGGGGTCGCAGTAGAACTCCACCACGGTGCCGTGGTTGTAGCGCTCGCAYGGCCGCGGGTGGCAGATGTAGTCTCCATGGGCCACCATCGGAGGCAGGGGACACACTTGGGCACACAGAGAAGCAGAAAAGGAGAGAAAACGTCAGCGAAGTGGGTAAAAGAGCTAGCRAAAGGCTGGGAGAACTAAATAGAGGACTGAGGGAGGCATCTCTAGGAAACAGCAGTGGATAAAGCTGTTCAAAAGCAGCATTTTTATAAAAGAGAAAACTGTTTTGCTAGGCAAGTACTAGTTCATCCCTATTTTGTCATATGCTCCTAACACAGACAGCAGAAAAAAACCAAACCCACAGTACTACCACTTCTAAGTGATTACATATTGACCCCAAAAGGGCTTAAGTTGGTGATGTGGGTTATTTTATTTCCCTTCTGAGCAACTAACTGGATCGGTGCCCCATCTACAGGCTGTTCCCATCACTTCTTGCCTCCCGCGCGCCGTGAGGACCTACTGCACTGATTTAAATAATGAAAACGCCACTTCTCCAAGGAAGAGCCTTCCCGGGAATTACGACTCAGCTGCTTTCCCCTGTGAAGCTTGTTACATGAATAATGCATTTCATAAAAAAAAAATCTGCACAACAAGACATTAAATGAATCTTCAAGAGCAGCTGATTACAATGCGCAGCGATGACTGCTCCCCATCCCCTGGAGCCGTGGGTTTGTTTGCATTTTCCCGGGCAAGGCTTAATAATAACTTGAAATCACAGCAAGTAATTCACAGAAAGATTCACATCCTCAATACTCAGCATATTTTCCAGTGGCTCTAGACCCAGAGGAAAGAAAAATATTTTGGCGGGAAGTAATTCAAGAGTGAAAACAATTCCTAAGAACAGGGTAAAGGTGTGACACCAAAAGAGCAGCAAAGACGCCTTTTGTCCATATCAGAGAGAATTTCTCTCTTAAAAAGAAAAAAAAAAAAAAAACAGTGGAAGCAACAGTTCTGTCCTATTGCCAGGAAACCTGCTCTGTTTTTATGATCTATGTGAATAGCCAGCAAGCAAAGGGAGGCAGCCACCTCAATGTCCCTTCCTCGCAGCTGACTTGGGCAGGACCCAGGAGCCAGCCCAATGTGCAGCCCCTTGCAGCTCCTGGTCTGTTAATGCCCTGAAGGGCCCCCAAAAAAGCAGTCTCCTYGATGGAAAACTGCCACAGGATCGCTCTGCCAGCAACGTGGATCAGCTCTGGAGTGACACATCCCCAGTCAGATTAGAAAAATGCAACCCAGATATGCCCAGGGCAGGCAGCATATTTACCAGTGGGAGATGTATTTTATAAAACCTGAAAACAAGAACGTTAGTGCCGAACATGGTCCTCATGCTAGAAACGGGTGCCACCTCTTCCACTAACACCCTCCCTATCTAAAGAGCAATGATAGTGTGTTAGTGCTGTCTGGAAGCCTTTGTAAGTACTTCTTTACAGTTCTGTAGGGCATTGGTCACAAATTAGAAGTATTAATGAAACAGAGAAGTTATAAATACTTTTTTTTCCCCTCTGATAACAGCTCTTTTACTAAGTCCTTAATGAATAGCAGATGCAATGGAGCAGGTTTAAAATGGAGTTGAGCTCAGTTGAGATCGTGCTCCTTGCTGCTGTCAGACTCAGAGGTTTCCACTCACCTGGGATATCTCCCCACTGCCTCTGAATTACATATTAATCCTGTTTAAGGAATTCCAGTTTACATGGGGAAACTGGCRGTTGGGTCCCTCTGCAAGCACAGTGAATAACAGTCACTAAACCCTCATTTCAGAGCTTTCTTTTCCTAATCAAATCAGAYGAGTTGCAGCCTGAACAGCCACAGAGGAGCCTGTCTGGAGCACCACACAACCTGCTCCATTTCCACCATCATCGGCCCAATAGCCTTTGAAGTCAATGGGAGGAGTGCCGTTAGGTGGCCTTAGTTTGGATCCCAGAGAAGTGAGATGGTTAACAGCAAGGCTGGGGGCTGCAGAGCACTCCTGCCTCCCCAAAGGCAGGAGATTTGCAGTGCAGGAGCACTCGTCTTAGCAGATCAGACCTCTACAGCTGATACTCACCTTGCGTTTGGCGGCCATGCAAGTTCTCTGCAGCTCTCTAGACTGTGTGTGTCTGCTACCTGTCAAGAATGTTTGATACCCTTTAAGAAACTAGTTATTAAAGGAATATGCCAGGTCAAATATGGCCTAAAACYCAGCTAGCAAACCTGAGACCACTGAATTTCACTCAGGGAAGTTAAAGCTCAAGCCTCCTCAGTGATCAGCCCTTACTGCGGATAGAAATTACACAGCACAGACCTCAGGCAAATGCATCCATCTTCAAAAATGAAAATAATCAGAAACAACTTAAAATGAAAGTGTCTCTGACAAGTGCATTTTCACTGTCAAAGCCAACAGCAATATGGGCAATAAGCAAACATAGGCAAAAATTAAATCTACTTCAGAAATTTCTTACAGCTGAAAGAAATTAGGTGCTGTTCCCAAACAGGACACTATTTCTTTAGTGCCAACAGGTTTCATTCACTTGATAAGGCTTCCCAGACTTTAATATGCCAATGACAGCACCCACACTGGCAATCCAATAGCATTTTCTGGCAGCTAACATTAGAGGACCCCACATATATATCCTCAACTCTGGAGCCTGKCAGAGGGAGGGACATTAAATCACATAGTGTCTGCTAGGGATTTTGCAGCATGTGACCCCAGATCTCAGAATCAGCCTTTATAGAGCAATTGGCCACTGGCTGTAAAAGATTTATTTTTACTGGGGGGAGACTTACAGGCACTTTATAGCACAGCATTTTCGGTGCAAAAGCTGAGTGTTTAATCAAAAATGAAAGAACGAGTGTGTTCCTATGGCAAACAGATCCCTACTGGGATGCCCGGCACTATGCTTACTCAAAGAAGCTGAAGGGAGGAATTCTTGATTTGATGTGAGGTCCTTTCCCTACCGCTCCTAGCAGCATTTGCAGCTAAGGCCTCTCCTATGAGATAAGCCATGGCCCTTCCTCTCTGACTGTTTTTCATGAAAAAAATGAAAAATTGCTTGCAGGAAGAGCAGAGAACCCATGTCAGGCTATAGGAGATTTGGGTCACCAAAGATGAYCGAGTATGTCCTACCTCAAACACTGCCCACAGTCACGGCCACTCTTCCCCATGGCACCCTGAGCTTTGCGTTGGGAGCTGCAGCTGCCACAACCCAAGGCCACATCAGCCTGGGCCAAAGCASCTATCAAGGCTGTTTCAGCAACCACATCACACACATGTTTGTGCATCTCGGTGAGTCATTTGCGGATTACTGATTAAACACAGCATTGGTCTTGCTAAGAATGGCAAGGGAACTGGTGGAGGGAAGAAGACGGCAATAGAAAAGCAGGTGGAATTTATCTTTTCTTCCAAATTCACTTTCCAAATTAGTGTTCTGGGGGAAACACATGGGAGTCCTCAGTCTTCAGACTATTCTTCTACTTGGATAGCTTTATATTCCTGCTACCAGTTTGGGTACACGCTGCTGAGATGGACATACCCAGCTGGAGTGCACAAGACGTCCTTAGCTCCCACACGTGATAAATGGGGCAGGGGACCCAGTAAAGGYTCCCTGTGGCTCCCCAGCACAACCTCCTACACAAACACCGATAYATCAACAGTGCATTTCTATAATAGATGCTGTCAGCGTTGTGAATGGAGGGAGTACAGGTTGGGGATGCACAGAAAAGCCTTGAGCCCACTGAATTTGTGTTTGAAAAGTCAGCTGTGAGAAATTGTCCCCACTACCCCCACACCAAAATAGCAAGAGTAGCACCAGAATCAAGGCAACAACAGAAACATCTAAGTGTCCAGTGCTATATGAAGTAAGCTGTTAATCCTGATAGCAGACATGACTTGGAGACACAGGATGATTATTTTGAACCCTGAAGTTGCCAGCAAATGTTATTGGGTTTATTCATTGAAAGCCTACAGCAAGAATAATTCAAAATCCTCAACTTTTGGCCAGTAATTTCTAAGTTCTTTTCAATCCCCAAATACTTAACCTTCACAATGCCATCTACATATTTTTCTTCTGAAAAAAAAAACCAACAAAAAACAAACAACTAAAAAACAAATACTTAATACTTAAGCAAAAACTTCTAGACCATTCATAAAATCAGTGGCAGCTTGAAATATAACCTGGTCTCCTGACTCCATGCTGTTTCCTCTCCCCCCAGGATAAACTTGCCCTAATTTTCTATCGGTTGCAATAGCACYATAAACCTTTCCGATGTTCACAGCAAGAAGCACTTTTCACCTTGCAGAAACTGCAAAACTAATTCAATAATTAAGTTTTTATGAAAAATCTCTTCTCTTTCCTAGCTCTGACAAATGCCAACTTGCTGCAAATTGTTATCACTCATACCAGCTGCATGAGCCTAAGTGAGACATTATAAAACTAGTTCCAAGCCTATTTTAATAAATAGCTTATCATTAGCTAATTCCTAAAGGGAAACAGAAGGTCATTTACAGTCATTTATCCTGCACAGAGCTTCCTTTCTCCCATAGGTACAAATTACAGAGTGGGTTTTGCAGTTCCCCCAGCTGAATTCCCATGGACATCTCAGGCTCATCCCAGTCATCTGCCATGAAACCGCCGTCAGCAGCGTGACAACCCGGGCAGCATTGCTCCTCATGCCCAGATCTGCAGTTTCAAATGCAGATCTTTGCAAAATGCACACAGTGAAGCACATCCCGAGTGATCTTTCTCCCATAAATTGTAAGTTAAAAAGTGAAGCTGTTATTTAAACTACAGAACTGGATTATGAGCCTGCAGCAGTGGAGGGCCAGGTCTGCAGTCTCCATTAGAGAAGATACCATTTTAGTTGTCTTCATCACTCTGTCCTAGGTTGGTCTCTGTTTATCATGAATGACTGACTTTATAATCAGTGATGGTCCCTCAAAGAATTTGAGAACCAGAGACCAGCACTTGGCTTAATTTCTGAGACCCAAGATGGGTGTGAGTCTGGAGCCAGCTCCTTGTGAAAGGTGCCAGATCCAGAAGAGCTGTGTCCTATAGCTTAGCTGAAGGCTGAAGAAATCAAACTATAGCACTCAGGAGAAGGAAAAATACAGGGAGTCATTCCCAATGGACTGAGACCAGGAGGAAAAAAAAGGAGAAAACTATGGGCACTATAATGGCACAAAAAAACAACCTACAAGACTATGGAGTCCCACARGAGTACTGATTTTTAGCCTAATCAGAAGGTGTTTGACTAAACTGTTTGGTGAAACAGTCACATTTGAAACTTTGACTCCTATGACTGAAAGTTAAGAACTATGTATGTGCCAAGGAGACTTTCTGAGGCAGAGACTTCATAGCTACAGTTCCCCCSACTCGTATAAGAGCTTCTCTGACTGCAATAAGCAAAGTCAATGGACATGTCCATCAGACACAGAGATATTTTGCTTTCACGTTAGAAAACATATTGTGCTTTTCCTTTCAGAGGAGCTGTGCCAGATACAATTAAAGATTGAAACTGTAAAGCAGGCCTTGGGAGGAAATTTGTCTGCTCCCCCCATCCAATCCTCAGCATACTTTGAACTCTGCAGGTAAAATTCTACCTGCATCTGGCAGCTGACGTGAAAGTTTGGGGCAGAAGCTCTGGCTGCATAAAAGAGCTCAGCTAATTTTGGAAATGCTAAGGACTTTCTGAAAGATTCACAGGCAACAGAGCRGGTGTAAAATGACGATTTACACCAACAGTCCCATGCATCAAGCAGAAACAGATCATTTATGTGTCGCCGTTCTGTTGCCTTTCTTGGAAAACTATGAACAAGTAGATAAGATCAAAGCAAGATCAAAGAAGGTTTCCGCAATGCAAAACAGGAAAATTCACTCAGAAACATAAGAGTATTTATCTTCTTCAAACAGCATCTTCTAATTGAAGACTGTTCTTCAAACCGTTCACCCCTTAAAAGCAGAGCTGTAAAGTGAYCACTGTTGTATATCACTGTTTCAAAATCTTTTCTTGCTTTCTTTCCATTTCACCTCACAATATATCTACTGGAAATAGAAGGTATTGGGATATTTCCTTTTAAGTTACTTCATCACACCAGCCTTCTAAGACTCTTGGTCACCCCAGAGTAAAAGACCAAGAGCCTACTTCATCCTTTGGCCATGAAGGTGAAGGTGTCACCAACATGCCAACATGTAGGTGTTCACAGCTATTCYTGGCTGCAGCTACTTCAGGATTTACTGTGGGTTGTCATTTCCAGAGCATATGGCTCTAGGCAGTGAGAACCACCTGAAAATCCACTCACGTCAGCAATTAAAACCAAGGCTATTGATCAATCTTACATTAACTCAAGTTGACTTGGATGACCTGATTGCTGCCTCGTGGTATTTACTTTGCKCTCTCTCCTGCATGCACACTGAACAGCTATAAGCACAGAGAAGAATCGTGGCATATACCTCACTTCATTCCTTCCTACTATAGCATTTCACCACTTGCTTTTATTGCTGCCCTCTGGTCCCTCTGCAGAATTTTTATCTGCTGGAGATCTGATGCACCAACATTATGCTGCCCGGGCATACACATCAGTTTGTCATGTTGAAATTTATCTGAGGCSGTCTCAATGCCAACAAAAATGCAGGAAGAGAGAAATCCATTTGTGCTATCCCAGGCTTAGGATTGCTCACTTAGAATAAAGAGAGAATAAAGACTTCTGGATGTAAACTGACTGCAGACAGATTTTGTCTTTTGTTCTCAGTATGCTGCTATATCAGAATTTCAYCAAGAAATTTCAGCAAGAATTTAAAATATTTCAAGGGTGTGGTTTATCAGATTTAGAGTTCAATGTTGATCAAAGTCTTTGGTCTTAGCAATTTTAATATRGTGATGGAGTTCTAGAATAGACCTGCAACTGGTTAGAAAGTGTGAACTGCTACATTTTGAAATATGAAGTGAATGTGGCATTTCAGCTGTAGTGCTACCCTGCTCCTTACTGCTTTTTACTTTCCAGGTTCCATGCCATAAATTATCAGACCTTCTCTTTTAGCATCTGCCTTCAGGTTTATAATAACCATTTTAAACCTCTACTAAGTATTCACACCTAACTCTCCAGGATTTACTTGTATTTGTAGCATACTCTACATGCAGTAAAATACAGTAAAATACAGTACAATTTTTATATCTCATATGATAATTTTCTCAAATTAAAAGTGATTTTTTTTCATTATTTGTGCATCTGATTTTACAGAAGGTACAACTAACTCACAATACCTTCTATGGATGGATCATTAATCTTAAATTGTTACTCTAAAAATAATATTAATAAATAAATTGACATTTTCCTTAGATTTTTATATATCATTCTTGGATATGTTTAAAAATTTCAGCATAAAAGGAAATTCAAAAAAAATCTGCATGACAATAAAAGGATCTTAAGAGCTTAAGTAGAATATGTGAATCAAAGAATTAAAGGAAAAGAAAGTTCAATGCTAAGGTGCATCTAAATGATTGCAAAAATTTCTAATGTTGGCAAAACAACACAATTTCCTCTAACCCTGTTCTTGGAAATATCTGAACCACTTCAGCTGAAGTGGCCCAAATGATTCAGCTTGAGGCAGACACTCAAAAACCAGCCTGAATATTGTAAATTCAGCAAAGTTACCAGTGTGCAAGAAGGGGATCTCATAGCAGTAAATACTCATCCATCTGAGCTCGAGCCGTCCCTATCTGCTTGATGGGCAACAAGTTGTCTGGAAACAGCCACTTCGGTGAAACAACCGCCTGGCTTTGCAGGGCTGGCTGCAACCTGCCTGCACTGCGGTCGGTTCTGATTTTAATTATCAGAAAAATCTTCTTTCCTGAGGGCAAAGATCCAAAGATCAGCAGACGAGCTCTGGGGCCACTGGCCAGCACCTTGACCTGGGGGTAGCAGCTGCTGGCCTCTTATTGAAAAGATAAAATAGGCAATAACTCTTGAACCATATTTTAAGGTACTGAAAAAAAAAAAAAAAAGACGTTTTAACACAAGTAAGACAGATGAGAGACCTCATCTTGCTCGCATTAAAGTTAATGAATTTTTGAATTTTCCCAGGTATTTTGCCAGGAGCAGGAATGGCTGCTGGGGCTTTCACCTGCGTTAAGTGAAGGAAAAATGCTCACATTTAACATCTTCTATTTATATGCTTGAGTTTCTGTGTTTTTCTTACTTTCCTGATTGGTGACTTGTATTCAGTTTGTGTAATGGTTATACTGCTTTGATTAAGTCTAACAAGGCCTTCCTAGTTATTTTAAGTTTTAATTTTCTGTGTTATAGAAAAACAACACATAAACCCTCTGAAAAATGGGTTACAAAGAGCTGATTTATGCTTAAATTTTTATGGTGTGCTCACCAAAAAAAATACAACTGCTCTTACCCCATCCGGAAATTGCAGAGGCATTTTTGAATTTTGAAAATTTAATTGTCAATTAAAAGTAAGAATCATTTTATTACTTTCGAGTCATGTCTCACTTTGTTGATGCTGCTGGCAAATTCCTGCACTCCAAGAATGCTCAATGTTCAGCTAGGTGACATAAGCAGTAGATATATCACTATAATTGCTTTTACTAAACGCTACATATAGATATCTAGCATATATCTACACACACATCCTCCTTTTAAGGGCATGAGCATAAAGGGTGTATTTGGATTCTGGTAACCTCCTGGATGTTTCATTCAAGATGTGCTGTGAGGATGGCAGAAGGTAGTTCACAGGGATGTGCTGACATATGGAGCAGGCAGTCTATTTGGTACYTTTGTTTTAGATGTACGGAATGCCAATACAAATACACGGCAATATCCCCACATTCCGCTACAGTGCTGGACTGCCCTTGCTGGAGGGGCAACCTTCACCTCTAGCCTTTGTGGCTCAGATCCATAAGCTCATACATAACTCAGCCCCTTTTGCTGCAAATCCTTCTGGAAGTTTAACTACCCCGAGGGCCAACAAATATTCAAGAATGCAACATCACGAGACASTGAGCAATGTTTGCACCCTGACACCCCCAAATAAGTCAGTACAGAGTATTATTTGGGTAGAAAGTGGATTTATATTCGCATCTAGAGATACTCAGCCCATCTGCTTGTGAATGTGCATTCCCATCATGTTTTTATTACAAAAGCAGCAAAGAACTTGCGTTTTGCAGGCAAAGCTGTTAATAACCCCAGCCCTCGTGCTCAGGACACCCCCGGAGCACACGCTTTGTAGGAACCACGAGCAGCTATGGACACGCGCGGCACGGCCCGTGCAAACGCTGCACCTTAAGGCCGCCCCGAGTTAAAACCAAAGCGAAAACGCACAGCAAAACTTGCAAGCTCTGAAGCAGAAGGAAGCAACAAGAAGAGGTTTACCTTCCACGTCAAGGCACCTAGGTGGGCTATCTGACCAGATTAGGTTATACATGCACTGGAGGAGCGCRGCCCCTTCCAGGCGGTAGCCGGGGAAGCACTGGTAATAGACCACTGCTCCCACAGGGAAGGAGGCCTCCCGCTCCGAAACGTTAACGTAACTATGAGGAAGAGCCAGGGGCCGCAGGCAACCTGCAAATTAAGAAGAGGGAGGCATCTTTTATTATGAGGCGCTTAGCGGAGTCGTCTCAACACACCTTGCTCTGCCCCGTCCCTAAGCTGAGGAGCACGATGCTGTTCACTGCTCTGCACCAAGGGCACAGCTGCCACGGACCCCTCGGACACACAGGTCCAGCCTCAGACGCTTCTACATCTYAGAGATGCTTTTAATGCCACTATCACAGGGCCCACTGGCAGCAAATCTGAGGCATTTTTCCTGGAAACGATGGGGTTTTGCTGCACAAACATCCGCCACTTCGGCAGATGGCAGCTTTGCTCTGAGGCAGAGCCTTTAATAAATAAAGATTGGCATTTATATAAACCATGAGTTACAGCTCCCCTCTTAAACACAGAGAGTCACATAAGCCAGCTTTAATATTAAAACTGCTGCTGTGCCAAAGGGTGCACAACAGGGTAAGATTTGCAGGTGGAATTAATGATTTTGAAGGAAGTCTGAAGGGCTGTAACTTGCTCTAAGTACTCACATGAGAAACCCTGGAAGTGGGCTTGGATTTGGTTAAAAGAAGGGACCTCTCACCACCAGTTACTTTAAAAGAGGTCAGAGGCTACCTGGGAATGAACCTGTTTTACTTCTGTGGGGTTTGTACCATGGGCATTACTGATCCTTGACCACTATATGGTGACCAGCCACTGTTTGGTGCAGTACGGAGGAGGAGCAAGAGGGAATGTGGCAGATGACATCACTTTGTGACCCGTTATCCACCTGTATTCTGAGCTTGTTTCGAGATGAGAATTAGATAAACAGTTTGTACTATAAAAATAAAAAGCACTTTCCTCCTGTCCTTAGAAACGACCCTCTTGGTATTCATTGATACTGTTGATTTTTGATGTTAACCATGCCTAGGGAAGATGGCTGGCAATCAGGGAATAACAAATAATGCCACAAAGCTATGAGGAGAACAGGAGCTGCCTTACAGCAGCGTTCATCCCTAAGGACAGGATCCCTAAGGATCCCTGGCAGGACCCTCCTGCAGGGACACCTCGCAGGAGGCGGCGCAGCAGAGTTGGGGACTTCTACTAGCACCGCATCTATTTGTAAAAGCAGTTTAAAAGCAGTTTTAAAGGCAGCTGAGTAGCAGCAAGGGATGTGCAAACCCAGAAGTCTCAGGCAGTAACTACGGGTCTAGAGGGGAACAGATTCTGGCTCTGCTACAGGGCAAGTGGAGGTCCATGGAAGCTGCAGTCCTTTCCACTGTTAATTGGTCCAAAACCACTATTTCTCCATAAGATCTTTTGCTGAATTTCTGGTCAGAATTTAGCCTAGGTTTATTTTCAAAATGCAAAGTGTTTGTGACAAATTTTAGACACATTATAGCAAAAAAAATTATAGAAAAGTAACATTTTAAGTATAAGTAGGTGGAGAGGGTGGCATCTTCTTTCCTGCAGTGACCAATGTGGGAAGGGGAAATCCTAGGTAAGTTAAAACTATTCCAGTACTGCACAGGTGGCTTAGAAGGTTGATGTCCTCACAGCTGCAGAAAAAAGCACAACAGCAAACTACGAGGAGATGCACGAGCTATAAAAGAGGATGTTCTGGTGTACTAAACCTTGACAAAAGGGCAGATTGTCCCATGTCCCATCGTCTTGGCACACTGAAACCAGGTTGTCTAAGTCAGGGTAACGAATCTGGAAGCCGTCGTGGCAGCTGATTATGAGCTTATCGCCAGTCCTGTACGTCTTGTTACGAACCTCTGCATCTTCAACATGTGGAACAAGGCAATCTGCGACTTCATAAAACAAAATATTAACTTAATTAAAAAAAAAAACACAGCTAGCTATTCAGCAATTTCAGCAATCAAGAGCTTCAGCAAAAGTTATCAGTTCACACGGCTGCTCGGGTTAAGCCACTTGCAGGAAATGCATTTTGCTTAATATGCCCTTTCCCTAGGTAAACATCAGTGCCCAGTCTACTGTTTGGTGCTGTAAGTGGATAACATTGGTTCTCCCAGATTTCTTCAACAGACAGAATTAAGAGTGTTTAGAAGGGCTATTTTCCATTCTCTCTTTCCTTTTCCTGCTCGTTACTTGAGCAAACGACACTGCCCAGTGTAACAGCAGGAAAGCCCACGGGAAGACGAACTCTGACAGCRCTGAAGACAGGACAAAAGAAAGGATGAAAACGCAGACACGGCACAAGGAGCAAAGGAAACTCCCCATGGAGCAACAAGAGACAGAAGGAAAACCCAACACGTTCGCCAGGGCCTACCCAGCTCCCAGCACAGCGTGCGTCCTCGGGCCACTAACAACTCTGCCAACACTGAATAACAGAGAGACAGGCGAGAAGATACGAAGGAATGGGCCAGGGGACTCAAATCTAATCCTCCTCGTTAATGAAAAGTACAATTAAAAGGAAAGGAGGAAAAAAAAGAATGTTGGAAAAATGCACTTGAAATTACCTGCCAGCAGCCCATCCAGGGTATCGAAATAAAAACTTACAGGCATCAAAAGCCACATGACATTTCAAATGAAAATCAGAAAGTAATGACATTTTAAACCTGTTTTATACCGTTTTTGCAAAACTTGCATTAAATTAAAAAAAAAAGAGAGAGAGAGAAAGAGAGAGAGGTTTCTCAAGTCCCTTGAGACTGGCATAGGAGAGAAAGTTTAGGCAAATTCCAGGGTTACCTGTTCCCAGAGGTAGAGGTGACTCTGACCTTGTTTTTACCAATTACCGTGAGCACGTACGGAGTAAAGCAGCAGCAGCAGCTTGCTTTCACGCAGCTCATTTGTCAGCAGCACAACTTCCAAGCAAGATAAGCTGTGATTTAGCATAGCACAGGCGGCCTCCTAATAAAAATATATTTCGTACTGTATTTCTTTATTTAGGCAAGCAAGGTGATCTATCATCCTGCGAGCCACTACAGTTGACAGATGCAGAGAGGGAACATGCTGCTTCCCCAGGTGAAACCTATTTCACTTTGTGCCTTCACATTGTAGATTTTTTGAGTTCCTTCGTCCTTCACCCCGAAATATGTTGCATTCAGCCAGGTTTTAGTATGATACTTGGGCATGCTCTTAGCTGAACATGTCACCGTGGTCCTTGCTACTCTGGGCTCTGCTGAGGGCAGGCAGGAGGCAGCTCCTGCTCCTGTGGTGCTCCCAGGCCAGTTTTACGCAACGGGCTCGTATCTACTGTGTGAATATCAAAAAGGGGCTGCCAAAGGCAGGTCCTTGCTGTGAACCTGCTCCTCCTCCTCCTYGCGGCGCTGGATGCAGCATCCCGCATCCCGCAGTGGGTACCGCCGCTCGCCCTGGATGGTCTCCGCGCTTCCCTGTGGAGCGGCTCAAGGGCATCCAGGCACCACGTCTGTTTGGTGGTGTGGAAAGGGCTGGCGAGGAGGAGGCGGGAGGACAGAAACCGTGTGAAGAACACACTGACAGCTCGCCTGACATGACCTCACCCTCTTAAAGGCCAGCACAAATGCTTTATATTGTCTATTTTTTAATTTCATATGAAATTCACACTCCTGTGTTATAGCATCATTTTGTGGATGCCCAACCTTTCCTGATGCTTTGTCATTCAGCAGGGAGCAGAGGCTGAGGACACCTCCAAGGCTCCTCCAAGGCTTCCAACTGGGAAGGGACCCCACTCTTCAGAGTCACAGAATGGTTGAAGTTGGAAGGGACCTCTAGAAATCATCTAGTCCAACCTTCCTGCTCGAGCAGGGACACCTAGAGCACAGGGTGGCATTCAAATGGGTTTTGAAGACCTCCAGAGAAGGAGTCTCCACAATCTCCCTGGGCAGCCTGTGCCAGGGCTCTGTCCCCCTCACAGTGAAGAAGTTCTTCYGCATATGGAGATGGAACTGCCTGTGTTGCAACTTACACCCATTACTATCCCCAGGCAGGCTGTGCCTTCGAATYCAGCATCCCAGGGCCTCCAAAAGCAGCAACAGTCTCAGCTGCCACATTATCACAGTGGGAGAAGACAGGTTAAAGTGTGAACAACCTGACATACTGCTCTGAAACAGTGAATGGGAAATTCCTGCCTCCGAGCATTGATATTTATGTGCATAACCTCATTAGACGTGATGGAGTTGCAAGCACATGCTGTAGATCAGCACAAGAATATAACTCCAAGCACAGCACATTCTGACAGTGCATTTACCAAGCGCCTAGTCCTGCAACTTCATCCTTGTACTGGCATGTAAAATCTCCTGCCTCTTAACTAGAAAGGACAGATCTATAAAATCAAACTGATGGGAGTAGGATCTCCAGGTAAATCAGTTAGTTTTTAAATCAATCACATTCCACAATGGGTGACAGTTCATATCATAAATGGGATTATTTTGCCATTAGGGATTGATCCAATAAACAGATAAAAACAATTATAGGTACTTTTAGATATAAAACTATATGCAACTATCCATTATTGAATCCAACCCCCTGAAATTAACTTCAAATGAATTGCAAGTATTGAGCGTTCTCGATGCTCCAGCTCAGTAATTCTAGTTCTACTATAAAATAAATATTTTAAGCACCCAGATGGCAGTATCTGACATTTACAGACACTGGAATGGTACCAGAGCCACGTGCAGTACACCACAGTAAACACAGCAACTGCTTCTGCCTTAAATGAGTAAATAAAACACAAAACTTCACCTCATGATGGCTAGATGGCAAGGGCTAGAACATGAACTTCTCAGTTCACCATCACTCACTGCAAATTTCTGTCCGTATCATTGTGCAACTGCTGCAGAGATGACTTTTTCTTATGTCACAGGAGAGCAGAGAACCACGAATGTTGCTGCAATTGCTCTGAAACTGCTCCCTCACGACCATGCTCGAGCCTCAGGACCTGGTGCTCCCTGGCCACAAGAGCACTGGATTCTGGAAAGCACTTGAATTCTTAAGTCTCACGGATTGCCATTGAACCTGGGACTCACATTTCATAGGAATCAATGGTTGGGTTTTACACTGACAACAAAAATTAATTCTATCATCTAAATAGATTTTTTTTCTCTTTATTGCTAAATCCTAGCAGTTTTTAATAGTACCTGAGGAAAGCTCTGTTAGTCAGTGAAGTACCTATGCACTTGCTTCAGTAAATCCTAGACCAGGGTCCAACTCCTGAATCAAAATAAAATAAAATAAAATAAAATAAAATAAAATAAAATAAAATAAAATAAAATAAAATAAAATAAAATAAAATAAAATAAAATAAAATAAAATAAAATAAAATAAAATAAAATAAAGGTGCATGCTTAATTTTAAGTACAGAACTTGAACATGACTAATCAAGTAATTAGAGTTACACTCAAGCTTAAGTGTTTGGCTTGATCAGACAGCCGACTCGCAATTCTTTTCAAGTGCTCAGCACTGTAAATCAGTGACTGTCTCTTCAGCACCTGTTGTCACATTGCCCATCACATGCTCATATTCCAATTCCTTTCTCTTTTAAAATTGCCTCATTCGGGTGTTAATCACGCCAACATTAATAGCAGTTTTGTTATTGATGGTCTTGTGATCAGAAACATCATCCAGATTTCCACTTGATGGGTGGGGGTTGCAGGGAAGAGGGCTGAATAAAGTATGTTAAAGCCTATTTTAACAACTGCAATAGATGACACAGGTACTATTTCCAAAGAAAAGATTCTCAGAAGATATCTGTTAAAAAATATACAAGTATTATAGCTTTTCTCTAAAGCTCCAGTCCCAAGGTGGGACATACTCTTCTGTTGTCATGCTACATGTATTTTTTCTTAACTATTAGGTGAGAAAAAATGACACCTACAACAGGTGGCTACAGTAGGAGAAGAAATGAATCTCATAGACATTATATTTAAAAGCATCAGGCTGTTTCTTTTGGGGATGTCCTTGCCTCCCTTCCAAGTGGCTGAAGCAATGGGCTAGAAGAYGGCACTCTTGCTTTATCAGCTCACATGGGGTTATTTACTGTAACGAAAATGTCCTGTTATTCCTTCTGCCTGCAGAGTTAAAATGAGGTCCTCGAGTCCAGATCCTTAACATGGCATCAGAGGAAACAGTATGGCCTTGACTTTTAAGCATCTCCTTGGCAAGAGACTGATTCAGGAGACTCTCTTGGTCACTTCACCGRGGAGACTCTCTCGATCACTACACCGAGTATCAAATGAGTATTTGTCACATTGGCACTGTAGGGCACAACAGCTGAATTTGACTCCATCTCAATTTATCATCCCTTTCTGACCTCTGCGTAATCCTTGGCTAATTTTTCAGTGGACCAGGTTCCTTCATTATACTCATCCTTGAGCCTGTGGTCTTGGGTCCCAAAAAAGCTCCAAGCTTTACTGCTCTTATAGACAACAAATCATGGATCTTAACCTTTGCTCCATCAGGCAGTGTAAAACAAAGCATTTGTTTTACAAAGTGTCATTGCTCCAGGCTGCCTTTACATCCTCTAAAGCAGCTTTAATCCCAGCGTGTGCCACAAGACAGCCCAAGACGGCATCCACCACAGCCCCGTGGTCTCCCACCTGCCCATGAGGCCTGATTTTACCAAGACTTCTCCAGCCAACGTTGCAGCTAACGAAAAGACCACCCCCTTCCTACCGTCCTGCTCTAGACACTCTCAAATATTTCATGCACTGCTTTCCCGGGGARGGGGGGGACTCTTCAGGGCTGCCCCTCTCATGCCTGTGCACTGGATGGATGCTCCCCACCCCTGGCACCTGCCCTGGGCATAAGCACCAGGTTCTCCTATTTACACCCCCATCACCATGAGCAAACACTTGCAGATCTTCCACACACCCTGCAAAGTTAGTGTGGTTATGAGCCACGTGAATCTTTGACTCCTGCTTTGGAATAAAGTCCATATTTTTATTTTCATTTAAACGATGGAAAACCTCCAGACATAGAATTTATCTTGCTCCACCCCGAAAGCATTTAGAAAAATTGCTAATGACTTCAATGGAGATATGCACACTTGATTTAACTAGTGCTTTTCATGTCCCTTGTTTTTAATAGTCCTGTGGACCAAAAATAAAATGATGCAAATAATAAGATATTGTTTTAATACACTTGGTGAAATACATAGCTTGTTTGGACACATTTTGGACAAAATTTACTTTCACAATATTAAAACTAATCTTGTTTCTATCAAACCTAGAAGACTAAAATAAGGTAATATCCTAATTCCTTAAAACCAGACACACTTTCAAAAATGAAACACACTAAAAAACAAGTTGTTTTATGGCACAACACTCTGAATCATCTCAAAGTCAACTTCTGCTATGACTCTAAATGACTGCAGCCCATGCATATTTGATTCTCCTACATGAATTATGCACACGTAATAGAAGAATCGTTGTTCAAATCCCCTGGTTAGCAGGTTTAGTAGCGATGGAAATTAATGACTTTTTCCCAGTAAGATATTAGGGAAAGGAATACCAAGCAGACAGCCCTAACAAATAGTTACAAACAGGTTATTGATACCGGAGGCTGTTTTTCCTCTCTGCATCAACATGTAACCAACTAAAGGAGAAATGTTTTATCTTTTTATTCTTAAGGCTCCCTTATGGCCCTTCCAACACACACACACACACACACACACACACACACACACACACACACATCACTTCTCACAGTGTACTTAACGGATGGATAGATGGAGGGACGGGAATTACGGATGGAAAACTCAAAAATGTACCAAGTAGGATCCTGTGCAATGGGCTCCATCCAGCCTCGGGGGTTTGGGGCTGGGACACACGGCCATGGCACGTGCAGGAGCGAGCGCAACCGGCACTGACCAACTGCTCAACAAAACGGACTTACCTTCTTGTAGGCACACAGGTTTGTCGCTTGGCTTCCAGCTCAGGGAGCCATTAAAGTGTCTCACGCAGAGYTTTTTTGAGGTCCCATTGAGCCGGTACCCTTCCTGGCAGTGGAACCGGACCACGACGCTCTCAAAGAAGACGCCGGCGCTGGGCGTCTTGTAGCCGTGCTCGGGCGCTCCGGGATCGGCGCACGCGTGCAGCTCGTCGAACCCTGGGGCAGACAGGGACACGGTCAAGGCGTGTTCATTCACAGCCTCGCCTTCTCCAGCTTTTGCTAGTTAATCTCCCCCAATAACAAAAACCCAAGAGTTGCAATCAAAAAAACGTGTCCGTTTAGCACTATATCCAGCTCATTTCAGTGCATTTMCACAAATTAAAGCTTTTCTTACTGCTAAGTAACAAAGGTTGAGTGCGGCATCAAACAAGTGCTGCATATTGGAAAAGGAAATAACTCTGCCACAGGGTTGGCAGGGGGACAGTTAATACTGATGGGAGAGACACCTGGGAGAAAAACCATCACATTGTGACTCTAATGCGTTGACTTTAACAGAGCAGAGGCTGGGAGCCTCTGCTGTCTCCTGCATGATAAGTTAAAAGACTCTCCATAGCAGAGTCAGTGGGACATTTTGAAGAGGAATATCCTCATTCCCACTGAGGAATGAGAATGCAGCACCGGAGCATCTGCTCCCGCGCACTCRTGCTCCTTCACACAGGCAGGTTTATCACAAGAGCCAGCCCAGCAGCCCAGCAAACGTCCCACGTCCCCTCACGTTCCAGCACAAATCGCCCGAGACTCTCCTGTGTGCTAATGTGATGGAGAAGGAGACACACGGTCATTACACTGATGGGATTATATACTCAATACGAGGGAGAGGCTGTCCATTTCTATTGGAGATTAAAAGGAAGCTGCTTCTGTTCCAGGCACCCAAACCAATACAGCCTGCGATGATCTCAATTATTTTTTTCCATTAAACCAGAGGATAACGTGACATTGAGCTTGACAGACACACAAAGAATATTATATCCCACCTCGAAGTACACACTTTGCTTACTAACTGCCCCCAGGAAAAGAGCACAGCTTGCCTAGCGCTATGGCCCTGCCCCAGAGAAGGAAAGAGGTTGAGGTCACGTACCATTTGCAAGGCAAAAAACAAGCCCATCTGATTTCCTCAATTTTCATCAAGTTATATATGCAAAGTTGGAGATTTCTGGCCTGTCAGCACAAAATCCTACATGAAAGGCTAGAATGTTTTTCCCTTGTGTGACCTAATTCCGTGTTTCTCCTGCCACTTTGCTGGTGACCTTTCACAGGCGAAGGTTTTCATTCCCCGTGGGGATATTTCTGCAGCAAGCTATCTCTCCAGCTTCCCCTTCTCCAGCGCAGTTTGCGAGCAGGCATTTCTATGCCCCAGCTGCAATTCCCAAGAAGGAACGGGAACATRAGCATCCAAAAGAAATGATGCACCCTGCGGCTTCAGCACCCTGGTAGCCACGGAAGCCCTGTCCTGCAGTTGCTGCATAAGAGGTGACACAGGACAGCCACGCAGTGCCACCGTTCCTGGCACTGTGTCCATTTGTTTGCTCGTCAAGAGAGGAGGAGGAGGGCAAAACCCTCAGGGAAGCCGGGCAGAGCGACTGCACGTGCAGCACAGTAACTTCTCACAGTGGGTCCACAAAGGTGAAGCAAACCAAATCCTAAGCTTGCTTTTTTTTCTCCCCAGATAACAACAGGGATAAATCTCAGTCCTGCTAAAATGAATAAACAAGTGGGAGTCGCTTGCATGAATGCAATGACCGCTGCTGGAGATGATCCTGTGATCATCTCCTCCCTCCTGCTCTGCAATGATGATGAKGAKGAGGAGGAGGAGGAGGCAAGGAGGTGTGTGGCCAAGGTGCTGAGCATCTCCCAGGCTTTTCAAAGGGGCCATTACCACTTGTCCTTGACGAGACCAAGCTCAGACCCTCTGCATAATAATCCTTTCTTTATGCTCTTMTTTAGTTAAGCTTCACCCTATGCTGTAAAAAAAGGAGTAAATGCRTGCTACTGATAAAATACACAGCAGCTCAGTAGATTACATCTTTTCCTCCTGAGAGTTTTAGTTCTTTTATCAAAGCTGTGCTTTCAGCTGCAGCTACTCAAACTTGTGATACGTTATTTTTATAATGGCAGGAGCAATTTCAAAATAGACTGGGCATCTCTCGCTTTGGTCACTTCAGAAGCTGAGGAAACCATCCAAAAAAGTTTTCAGCCACAGCCACGAGATACGGTCTTTGAAAAGAACTGTAAATATATATATATATATGTAAATGGGGAACATAATATTTCACGTTACAACAGAGAGTTGTTATCTTGTCATCTTGCAGGAAAGAATGTATCAAATAAGGCAAAAATCACTTAGGAACTACGAGAGATTTCTGTGTGTTRATAACCCCTTCAGCAAGTCTTTCAGGATGAAAAAAAAAATGAAGTTTTCACTTTGTCTCCTGGAGTTTTCTTTTTGTGCTTACAAAATCATCAGCATCTATTGGGAAAAGCACTGCAGCCTGCCTGTCAAATGAAGAATCAGATTTTATCCTTTTACTTGTTAGAGATCTTATCTCTAACAGTAAAAATGTACCAAGATCAGCAGACATCACCATAATGAACACGGCATCATTAGCAGCAATTTAATGGGGTGCTACTGCATGGTTTTAAATCCCAGAAGTAAAAACGGCTCCACTACTGCTGGAACTATTTCAGAATTAAAACTACTTATTATTTAATCCAACTTGCAGGTATTTTCTATATTTTAAGGTATACACAGTGTGAGAGAGAGAGCAACAGCACACTGATGTGACTCATGGGCACACGACTGCTCCATCACCAGTAGAACATCCAACTGATACAGCGTGTATTCCCTTGTGGTATTTACCAGCTTTCCACTGCTGGACCTGCACAAGGCCATCAGAAAACAGTAGTGTTTTTAACCTGGGCAAAAAACGAGCATCTTATATAGTTTTTTTCTTTTTTGTTTTTTTTTTTTTTAATCCAAATTACTGGGTACAGTCAGCAGGAAAACATGGTTAAAACGATGGCAATTGAATCAAAAAAAAAAATAACCTAAAAAATAAGCAATGTTCTGCTTTCGGTGGAYAATGAAGCATTACAATTCATTTGAACGGAGCCTATTACTATAATTCTGCATTATATATTCCCTAACATATAATGATTCATCTGGTCTCTGATGAAAAGCCTGAAATATTGGAAGCCAGTAGTTATCTGACAAAACACCACAGGTTTCCCAATCCTGCTCAGTCTTGAATTAAGATTATAGCTCCTTGTCTTATTAGGCATATTCTTCCTCCTATCTGCAAACTCAAACGACAGACCCTTAAATCAGCTCAGAGCCTTAATAAAATATCCCTTATCAGAGTTTCAGCATGGGTAGCTCTATTAACAGACTATTGCTTTGTCAAGGAGAGTTTTATGACATCTGTAAATTGGCAACCTGTTCATTGACAAATATGCCTATTCCCCTTGCCAGTGAYGGGCTTATCTATATTTATATCCACGGAGCTGTCCCAAAGCCAGGGACAGGGACGTGCTGAGGGACAAGGCAGGGAGGGACGTGCCRAGCACTCAGCCTGCCTTGGCAGGGAAATGAACTTAGAAACCAGCACTTCCATGAGCGAGATGCCCTCTCACACCTAACCCACGAACATCCAAGGAAAGGCTCCACCTCGAACCCTGCTCCCAAGGGAAACACAGAGGAGATGCGGCAGCTTTTCCACCTGCGGAGATGATCACAATTCTTAATTCTGTATGTGAATCCTGGTTCAGTCTCCTTCCTTGTGTCCCCTCTGARAGGCCCAAGCCTGAAGAAAAACCACTTAAACCCACTGGAAAGGGAAGATGATCCAGAATACAATTAGGAGCACTCTCCTAAACACAAAAGAAACTGAAAGGATGCCTTCTTTCCTCCCTGAAAAAGAGTTATTCTAATTAGTATTGGGCACAAGTCTGCCCTTTTAATCATAAGTCCTTCTTGCAATTAATATAGTTACGTCTTCTTCCTAAACAAGCCACTTCATTTATAATGCCAGAAGCAGTTGTTGTCTCCAGCCTTTTGTAAGCTAACAAGACGGGCTGCATAATTTATTAAGCCTCRTGTGGCGTTCCCCATGCCTCCCAATACTCTGAACCCAATGTCACTTAAATAAAAGGCAAAATTCAGAAGCTAAATGTGCTTGCAGCTCCAGAGACACTGCTGAGCTCTCACCAGCTTATGTTTTTGTTTCAGAAAGCTACAAGAGCTGTCCCAAGGGTAGCTCAGGGGGTAAAATATATAATATATATATTTTCATATACATAAATGTTATATATAAATATATAAAAATACATAGTATATATTTTATATATTTTATACATAAATATTTAAGTAATATATAATATTATAATATAATATATAAAATTATAATTATATAATATATAAWCTAATATATAATAATTTTTATATGTATATATATACACACACACACACACAAATAGAAGAATCCTCATAGTCTACCCACAGCAAACATCCCAAACTGGATAGTTAGATTTTGACTAAAACTTGCATGCTGAGCCCAGTTCAAGTCACCTCGCAGGCAGAAAGGAACGGAACTTGAAATCGGAGTTTGTTCAAGTGTTTAACCAGCCCTCTGCAGATAAAAGATTACAATTTAKTTTTCATTTCAATTCATTGTACAAGTTTCATTTAACAGCAAAGCCTGTTCATGCTGCAAACTCCACCACGAGTTGCCAAAAAGCACAAAATTGTGACTTTYCTACTCTATTCCATGAAGAACAGCCTGGTGAGAAACCTGCCTCACCAACTCTACCATGGATGGAGTTAGCACAATCAGGTCAATTTCTTCATTACAGATTAGTAATTTCAAGTTTCTAACATGCAGATTTTAAATATAAAATATGCTTACAGAAACATATACTCATCAAACTCTAGGTAATTTTAGCTATTCTTAAATTGTACCTCTTTAAAATGATTCTTTTGTGCCTTTTAGCTGAATTTTGAGTATCTATGAATTCTGATTTTAGTCAAGCACACTTCTACAAAGATGATGAGGTAATTAAAAAAAAATCAATGAACATTTTCCTCCATAACAAAAACAAGAATACAGTAAAAGCACAATAAACTCTACACATGCTTCAATAAATGAACATGAACCTCATAC